AGTCATGTACTCGGCGTCCTCCTCGCTCTCACGCTGCGCCCGGGAACGCGTGGGCACAGGAAGAGGTCTGGAAGAGGAATAAACACAGAAAAAGAAAGCAAAGAAGCTGGGAAACCTCCGAGTATGAAACAAGGTTTCACGACCACCACAGCTCCAATGTGAGAGCAAAACAGGTGCCAGCAAGGGGACTCTTACCCTCCGTGCCCGGGGCCTGCTGACAGCACACTCCTTCGGGGGGGGTCCTTCAGAGGGGGGCTGGGGGCGGCACAGGGTAAGTGGTGATGGACGGAGAACTGGCTCCGGTGGTGAACACACTGTGCGCAGAGGACGCGCTGTCGGCTGTGCACCTGAAGCCTGTATAATTCTGCTAACCAGTGTCACCCCAATAAACTCTATGAAGGGGAAATTTTAATAAAAACACACTAACTTCCATTTCACTTTTAACTGGCCAAGGTGAGCTGCATGCTGAGCAGCGTGCACGGGGAGAGGCTCTGTGCCAGGGCGCCGGCCCCGCACTGGGCCATCGCTGCTGCGGGCTCCGTCCCTGACCACACCTCAGCTCGAACACCTCCTTGCTGAAAGCTTTCTCATATACCCTATTGTAGCATAAACAGGTTTCCTACTCATACTGAGCAAGAAAAATAGGAAATAAAAAGATATAAAGTGCCATGGCAGTCAGCATCAAACCTGGGACCACCCCCCAGTTCCCAGGCCCTGGCCTTCCGGGATCTGGCCCCTGCACTCACACATAATTCTCAAATATTAAACAGAACTCCGCCTGTCACCCCGCTCTCTAAGACTAGGCAAGGAGGAAACAACATGAAAGAGACAACACAACCCCGCAGTCCTGTGAGAAACAAACACGGGGAACACGGTGCCTCTGGTGACAGGAGTCAGTGAGCTTCTCCTCCCTCCTCATCGTGCTTCTTGCACATTCTAAATATTCTAAGAAACACCTATTGGATTTGTCAGTCAGTGTTTACTTGATGTTTAGTTTGCCTAATTATAAAAGCAAAAGCTGCTTATTAAAAACACTTAAATGCTACAGAAACCTAACAGAGGACCATCCCCTATAATCTCACTTCAGAGTTTTTCTATTTCTTCCTATTATGTTTATTATTTGTGCATGGCATGCTAAAGTTTTGAAGTAGAACTGTATTGGTATCTACAATGTGCCTGGAGATGCATCAATAAAGTAAGAAAGATTGACGGATGGGTAAAAATACAGATAGATAAATGTGTGATAAAACAAGCATAATAAAATACTAATGGTAGAACGTAGGTGGTGAATATACGAATGTTCACTAAAAAATCTTTCACTCTTGCCCAGCTGGTGTGGCTCAGTGGTTGAGCATCGACCTATGAACCAGGAGGTCACAGTTCAATTCCCAATCAGGGCACATGCCTGGGTTGTGGGCTCAATAACCAGTAGGGGACGTGCAGAAGACAACTGATCAATGATTCTCATCATTGATGTTTCTATCTCTCTGTTCCTCTCCCTTCTTCTCTGAAATAAATAAAAATATGTTTTTAAAAAAATCTTTAACTCTTACTCTATGTTTTAAAACTTTTCATAATAAAATGTTTGGGGGGGGGGCAACCCATAAAGATTAGCAAAAAAAACAAAAACAAAACAAGTATTGGCGAAGATGTAGGAAAAGGGTATTTTCTTTTTTAAATGGATAATTTCTTATAAATATATGCTATGACTTTTCTGGAGTGTAATTCAGCAAATGTATTTAACCAAACATGCAAACCCTTATACTCAGAAATTCCATTTCTAGGAATTTCCCTGAGGAAATAATCAAGAATGTCCACCATAGCATTATTTATACTAAAACAATCGGCAACAACCTGTCAAATAACAATGAGCTGACCACATTTTAAACCGCCCCACCCTCCCCCGCACCCGACTGAAGCTGACTGTGTCCCTTAGCGCCTCATAGGCCTCGGCCCCTGCACAGGAGGTCTTATCTATTCCCACAGGGAGCGCACAGGTCAGCTCCTCTGCTTTGCGAGCAACTGAAATAATTTGAAAATCATTGCAGTAGAAGAATATGTAATGACATTCTAAGATGTTTGATACTCCTAGTGAAAAGCAGCATGTGCAGTATGACCCCGTACACACGGAACAGCAGTAACACACAGCACATGCTGATGACTTCCATTTCTTCAGCATTGCTTGTCTGTACTTTCTATATATTCTTTACTTAGCACGTTACTTCCATAAAAAGAAAAAAGTCATTACAAAGGCAATAAAATTTTAAATTATAATTCTTTTTGATGATGATGTTACTCTCTCTATATAAAAGCGTAATATGCTAATTAGACCGGACAGCCAAACAACCTTCCGGACGAAGCCGGGGCTGCGAGGGCCAAGCCCCTTGCACCATTTCGTGCATCGGGACTCTAGTCTAATAATAATAAAAGTGTAATATGCTAATTAGACAGGATGTCCTTCCAGATGACTTTCCAGATGAAGCCAGCGGCGGAGGGAAGCCCGGGTCCTGGGTGTCAGAGGGAAGCCAGTGCTGGCAGCCAGGGGAAGGAAGGCCCACTCTTGCATGAATTTCGTGCATCGGGCCTCCAGTAAAAACATAAAAATGCACCTCCACATTAAGCATTCTGCCAACACATATTTTATTTTTTAAATATATTTTTTTATTGATTTCAGAGAGGAAGGGAGAGGGAGAGAGCTAGAAACATCAATGAGGAGAGAGAACCACTGACTGGCTGCCTCCTGCACGCTCCCTATTGGGGATCGAGCCTGCAACCCCAGGCATGTGTTCTGACCGGAATCGAACCCCGGATCTTTGGTCCACAGGCCGACGCTCTACCCACTGACCCACACCAGCCAGGGCCCAGCACATATTTTAAAACATTCACCATCTTTAGTCACAAAAATTCTACTTTGGCTGCATCTCTGATTATGTAAAAAAAGTTCTTCAAAACATTTATTACAGTAAAGCTTTTAAACAAAATAAATACACAACAATAGGGGAATAATTAAAATATGTGATAGTAATAGTCACATTATATATGTTATCATTAAAAGTACAGATTCTGAAGAACTTTTTAAATACGGAGAAATGCCCAAGATATAATGCTAAAAAAGGAGAGAATATAAAACTCTATCTTGATCTAAAACATATATACATTTTACATGTTTACAGCCACGGCCAAGCAACAACTAAAGAAGCCGATAAAATACAAAAGAAAGAAGGCACTGGGAGAGAAAGCTGAGAACCCTATGACCTCACTCATGTGCGGGATATAAAACGGACTCGCGGACACAAACAGCAGTGTGGTGGGGGCCAGAGGGAAGGGGTATGGGTGTGGGGAGAAGGGGGCCTAACATGAGGTGACAGAAAGTGATTTGACTCTGGTGGTAGGGACACCATGCACTACAGATCTGGTCACACAGAAACCACACCTGAAACCTACATGCTCATGGTGACCAATGTCACCCCAATCAATTGAAACAGAAGGCTCTGGAGAGCAACCGGACAGCCAGCGCTTGCGAGGCGGCCGGGCTCCGGAGAGGAGAGCACACCGATGGAAGCACCACACTGCACCTGGGGTTTTCAGGTGGTTTCAACAGGCTGGGAATTCGGGGTATCAGGATAGCCCATCTGTGAGGGCCAACAATCCTGGAGAAAGGAGGAGCAGAGGAGGAGAGTTAAACTGTGCTGCAGGGTCCCTGGAGTCATGCTGACCCCTGACCTGTGTGCCTGGAGGTGGCTTCTGGTTCCTCAGGTGACAGCAGCTGCCAAGGAGGAGCAGATGCTGGCTGTGCTGCCAGCTGGATAACAGGCAGGCCTCTCCAATAAGCATGTGTTCAATAAGAGAGGAGAGCGGGGAGTTTTTATTAGAAAACTAAATCAATACATTTTTGAAAATGACATGGAAATTCTAGAACCCAAAATTATTCTATCTGGCCCTAGCCAGTGTGGCTCAATGGATAGAGCTTGGCCTGCGGACTGAAGGGTCCCAGGTTCAATTCCGGTCAAGGGCATGTACCTTGGTTGCGGGCACATCCCCAGTAGCAGGTGTGTAGGAGGCAGCTGATCGATGTTTCTCTCTCATCGATGTTTCTAACTCTCTATCCCTTTCCCTTCCTCTCTGTAAAAAATCAATAAAATATATTTTAAAAACAACAACAACAAAAAAAAAAAAACCCATAGTATCTGAAAATACAAATTCAACAGATGGACTTAGGGCAGATTAGACACTGCAAAATGATAAAGGTGTTGGAATATAGCAGGAACTATTCCGAGTAAAGAGGAAAAAAAGAAAACAGAAATGAGTACACCACCTGTTAGGAATGGCGCCAAGCGGCCCCTCAGGTGGCAGGCGTCCCAGCAGGGGAGGAGAAAGAGACTGCACTACTCAGGCTCCCTAAGAAGCAGTGGGCGAGAATTCTCTAAGACATTCACATCGAACCACAAAAAGCAGTAAAGCCCACACACCTCAAGGACGTTCAGAAAACTGCTGGGATCTAAAGACAAGGCGCAGAGGGGAGACACCGCCTTCAGGGGAGCACACGGAGGCCGGGCGCTGCTCTTGTAAAGCGCCCACGACAGTAACTCTAGCGCAATGCTCTACGCAGGGAAAATATCTTTAAAAAATGTTCAAGTGAAATGAAAGATTTTCTGTCAAACAGAAGGTGTTTTCCATCAAACAAAATCTGGGAGCATTCACTGGTGGGAGACACATACAGTCCCCCCCCCCCCCCCCCACGCCTGTACGCTCCGTCTCTGTCTCTAAAGGAAGCGCTTTGGGCAGAAGGAAAAGATTCCAGACGGAAGCCTGGCAAAGCAGTACGGGCTGAGGAGACTGGAGGATAAGTCTGTGGGAAATTTCATGTACGGAAAGTGTGAAGAGCCAGACCCTACTGAGTCCAGGGTGCATGAAGGGAGTGCGCAGGATAACTATTAAAAAGAATAATTAAAGGGGGAAACGTTAAAGGTACTTTGAGAAAGTAGAAAAATGAACCAAGAACATAAGGGAAAAGAATGAAAACAAATATTCCAATTATTATAAGACAAAGGATGCTAGACTGGACTT